AAGCTAGCTGAAGCTGCTGATCTCTTTTGTTCCAAAGTGTGTGATTATCTGGGCAAGAAACAGCTTTTTATGGGCAGAAAAATAATACTCATGTGTTTTACAAAAATGTTGCTGGCTGCATAGAAAATGCTGTTTTCTGTGTAAAAAGCCACATGCAAATTTTGTACAGTATAACTCCCAAACTGCATAGATTTTTTATCAGTTTAGTATTCTTCTATTTGGGATTTATTGATAAGCAAAACCCCATATTTTTCAACCATTTTTTGAATATTTTCTAATATTCTTTCAATCCTTATTAAATATTATAATCTCACTTGGAAGAACTGAGATTTCTGGTTTCACAGTTTTTCTTCCCATTGGACTCATATTTTTTCTGACACCTGAACTTCCTTAGCTGCCTGCCCCTGGTACACTTTTTGGCTTTCTATCAGTCTAGCTGGTTCAGTAACTGGTAATATTGATATCTGTTTCTGAACTTGGATGGCCTCTAGACAAATTTCTCTGCCTGTTAGTTTAATCACTGCTTGTCCTTGACCCCAGATTGGTTTTGACTCATCCAAGTTCTTCTTGGCACTGTGTGTGGACAGATTAGGCATCTGATCCCTATAATGAGGACAAGCATCTTGGATAACTCCTTTAAAGTTTGGTCCAAAACCTGGAATCAATTCATTGCTCCACTGATATGAAAGCCTCAAGCTGTCACTGAAACTATTCAGAATTTGCTGGTATTAATTGCCAAAATCCTAAATGCTTTGGCCAAGACCTTCTCCCACATGAGTCAGCCCAAGTGTTATGATCTGACACTATTTTCTAGTTAGGCAGGCTGTAAAGATTGCCTCCTCAACTGTAACATCCTGTATGTAGGATGTTTGTGCCCACTTTTCTTTCAGCACCAAATGTGCTGAGGCCTTCAAATATCATTCTGCAATTTTTCAGTACTTGGGCCAGGCCAAACCCCCAGTTAGTGTTGTTCCACTAACAAAATTCTCATATCCATTCCTTCTCCCTGTTCATCTTTCTGTGTACTCTCAAAACCTCAACTAGGAAATCATTCAAGAAAAATTTTGGGGCAATATGGAGAGTTGCAAGTGGAAGTGCTAGGAAGGAGCCCCATCACACTAGAAGTTAGGTAATTGTATGAGACTGAATTTGTTGTTATGTGTCTTCAAATCATTTCTGACTTTTGGTGACCCTAAGGCATCTAAGGCACCATGGGATTTTCTTGACATGGTTTGTTCAGAAGTGATTTTCCATTGCTTTCCTCTGAAGCTTAAAGAGTGTGACTTGGTCAAGGTCACCCAGTGGGTTTCCATGGCTGAGCAGGGATTCAAACCCTGGTTTCTCAGAGTCCTAGTCTAGCACTCAAACCACAATACCACTCTGGCTCTCAAGATTTAATTTAGGTCCTGTTTTTATTCTGTATTTTTATTGTTCTCGTGCACCATTTGTTTATATAGGCAGGCTCATTTTTGGACATTCCACTGTTTCAGCAGATCTAAATTATAGCCACATACAGCACTTTTAAGCCCTG